ATAATAAAACCATCCATCACCCCAAAAGTTCCTTATGCCAGTCAGCACCCCCTTCCTCCTGCCCCTCCCTGCCTACACATCTCTAAACCCAGGCAACTGCTGATCATCATTCTGGCCTGACTTGCATTTGCTAGAATTTCATATAAATGGAATGTACTTTACGGGGTCATCTGTCTTTCCTCCCTCAGCATGATTATTTTGAGATTCACTCAAATCTGATTCTGTGTTTATCAGATCATTCATTTGTGTGCATTTGTACAAGGATACACAACAAATGTTTTTATCCGTTCACTGGATGAAAGTAATTGACTTGTTTCTAGTTTTTTGTTAAAACAAGAGTTGATACAGGTCTTTCTCTGGATACATGCTTTCATTAGTCTTAAGTGCTCAGTAGTAGAGTGGCTGAGTCATGCGACTATTGTATGTTTAACTTTTAAAGGAATTTCCAAACTGTTTCCAAAGTGGCTGCACCATTTTACATTCTTTTCAGTATATAAGTGTTCTAGGTGCTCCGTCCCCTTGATGACCCTGGTATTGTCAGTGTTTTACACTTTATACATTCTAATGGATACGCAGTGGTGTCTCATGGTGGTTTTAATTTGCATTTCCCTAATGACTAATAATACTGAGCATTTACTCATGTGGTTTTTTTTTTTTTTTTGCGATCCATTTATTATCTTTGATGAAGCATTTGTCCAAATATTTTGTCCATTCAAAAAACTTATTGGGGCGCCTGGGTGGCTTAGTCGGTTCAGCGTCCGACTTTCGCTTAGGTCATGATCTCATGGTTTGTGGGTTCGAGCCCCGCTTCGGGCTCTGTGCTGACTGCCAGCTCAGAGCCTGGAGCCTATTTCAGAGTCTGTGTCTCCCTCTCTCTCTGACCCTCCCCTGCTCATGCTGTCTCTCTCTCTCTCCTAGAAATAAATAAAAATATTTTTTAAAAAAACTTATTTTCCTGTTACTGAATTTTAAGAATGATACACATTCTGGATATGAGTCCTTTATCAGGTATTTTTCTTCCAGACTTTGGCTTTTCTTTTCATTCTCTTACTAGACTGTCTTTCAAAGAACAGAATTTCTTAATTTTGATGAATTCTAATTTATCAGATTGGGGTTTTATAAAGCATGATCTTCATACACTTTTAAGAAATCTTTGCCTAACCCAAGGTCACAAAGAGTTTCCCCTTATGTTTTCTATGCGAAGTTTTAGACAAGTTTCATAGGTTTTATATTTAGTCAATGATCCATTTTGAAGTAATTTTTGTATACTGCATTAGACACAGACTGAGGGTCATCTTTTACATATGAATACTCATTAGGAAAGATTATCCTTTCTTCATTGCATTTCCTGTATCTGTTAAAAATAAACTATATACGTATGTTTATGGACTTTCCATTTTATTTATCTATTTGTCTATCTTTATGTCAATACCACACTCTCTTAATTACTGAAGCTTTACATTAAGTCTTGAAATCAGGTAGTAATAAGTCCTCCAACTTTATTTCAAAATTGTTTTTGCTATTCTAGGTCCTTTGAAACTATAGATTAGCTTTGGTAAAATTGGCATAGTTACCTTATTGACTCTTCTGATTAATGTGCATAGAATCTCTCTCCATTTCTTTAGAATGCCTTTGATTTTCCTCAAACACCTTACAGTTTTCACTGTACTGGTATTGTACAATTTTTTCAGACTTTTTCTAATTATTTCATATTTTTTTTAAAAAAAAGTTTATTTTTGAGAGAGAAAAGAGAAAGCAGTGGAAGGGCAGAGAGAGGGAGACACAGAATCCAAAGCAGGTTCCAGGCTCTGAGCTGTCAGCACAGAGCCCGAAGCAGGGCTCAAACTCACAAACTGCGAGGTCATGACCTGAGCCGAAGTTGGATGCTTAACCGACTGAGCCACCCAGGCGCCCCAAAATTAAAATTTTTTTTAAATTACCCTAATTAAATTAGAAATACCCTCCACAAAGCGATCCAATGCAGAAAATTAGGAGTAATACAAATGTTCACAAACTTCTGTTAGTTCTCTTAACCGCTTTCCACCTCCGCCATCCAAATTCAGTGCTTAGCTGGATTATTTTAATAGCTACCAGGTCTATTCCTAGTCATGGCTTCCATTAACTCATTCTCCACAATGCTCTCCATTATTTAACTACAGATTTTTGATGGCTCCCCATTACCTACAGGATAAAAGCCAAACTTCTTAAAAGTGCCAGACAGGAACTTCGGTGTTTTGGTCCTGCTTACATGTTGCCTCATTGTCTCTCACTTCTCTTTCCCACTCGCAAGTACCCTACACTGCAAGTACTGGCCACTGCATGAATAATCATTAGACTGTTACTTCTGCCTTTAACCCCTGCCACGAACTTGGCAGGCAAGTTAAGAATCTGTTCGAAGATCACCTCAAGTTTTCCCTGACTATTCAGACAAGGTTGATAAATGGCCCTTTCACCTGGACTCTTACTACACCTTAATCCACCAAGTCCATCATGCGCCGTATGATTTATGCTGTGCATTTTATCCACTGAGACAGGTTCATGACCGATAGCACCAGGATGAGTCATGGTAAACTTCCAATAAATATTTGCAAGGTGAACAACTGGATGAACCGGACCCTAGGGGCTGCATTACAGATATAATCCGGTGACTGTTCAGAACGCACCAGTTTGCACAGACTTTATTACACTTGTATCACTATCAGCTGGGTGGCAATGAGCTTTGTTAAGAGTAACTCTATAATGTTTATGGTGTTAACAGTTGTAGAGTTTCAAGGGAAAAAAAATCAAACATTGCTTTAGCCAAGAAGGGATTAAAGCAAAGCTATAATCTTGTATTTACAGCAGCTAGCGTACTATATTAAAATGAATATGATCTTTAGATAAACCTAGTCCTGAATTCTACTTTTACCGTTTGTTAGCTTTGTGAAATATGAGAATGTCACTGCCATTTCTGAGCTTTAGTTTCTAACCTGTATAGTGGGGATAACTATTTCACAAGATTGTTTTAAAACTTAAATGATCTAGGGGCGCCTGGGTGGTTCAATCGGTTAAGCGTCCAACTTTGGCTCAGGTCATGATCTCACAGTTCACGGGTTCGAGCCCCGTGTCAGGCTCTGAGCTGTCAGCACAGAGCCTGAAGCCTGCTTCCGATTCTGTGTCTCCCTCTCTCTCTGACCCTCCCCTGCTCATGCTGCCTCTCTCTCTCAGAAATAAATAAAAAACATTAACAAAAAAAACTTAAATTATCTAACTATACATAAAAATCTCTCTTCTCATGAACTGCCTTCTATTTCTTCAGACCCAAGATTCTAGCATCTCTTTCCTTCTCTGAGATTCAAGTTATCCATTCCTTTTTCAAACTCCAAAGTCAAAGTTTCTGAATTGCAGAGATCGAAGCAATGGTTTGTTGTTTTTGTTACTGTTTTGTTTGTTTGTTTGAGTAAGAATGTCTGCGAGAGGGAGAGGGGCAGAGAGAGAAAATTCCAGGCAGGCTGTGTGCTGTCAGCACAAAGCCTGATGTGGGGGTCAATCTCAGGAACCACGAGATCATGACCTGAGCTGAAATCAAGAGTCAGATGCTTAACCACCAGGCGTAATGTTTAGTTATGGTTTTAAGGTCCCCTAAGCCCCCTTTATTCATCTTTCTCCTCAACAACATCAGCCACCACCATTTCCGGATATGAAATGGTCAGAGATACCAAATTGCTCATATGAACCAGAGACATTTTTGTGAGCTATAAAAAGCATTAAGCATTTATACATCATCAAAAATATGTATCAAAAACAGAGTTCAGTCTGGCTAAACATTAAACTGTCAGGTGGCACATATTTTTCAGGTGCAATGAATCAAAAAAAAAAAAAAAGAATAAAACTCTGCACTGCAGCCTACACATCCCAATGGAAGATACTTAAATGTGAACCACGACTCATTTATTAATGAAGAAAACATTCAACACTGGCAAATGAGATTTGCATTCTCACACACTGGTCTTGCTGTTTGACAATCTTTCTGGAAGCCACTGGCAATGTGCATTATAGCCTTTAAATGTTGGTTTTTAACTCAAGATTTTATTTATCCGTACAGATTCAATACATGTTCAAAAAGTACATACATACAAAAAGACTACCAGAAAAATATATATAAAAGATGGTTACTTCATCTCTGGTTAATGGGACTGAATTCTTTTTCTTCTGTTTTGAAAATGCTGTCAACTATAAACATAGCAGTTAAGATTTCTAGATTATACAGAAATTAAATCCAAGTCACACTCATTACGGGAATGGATTCTGGACGAGTTTCTTAAATGTTTTCTCACATGTAAAATACATAAGGTATACAAGAGTCAAGCCCTTTGTATTACTGGATTCCTAGATTTGGTAACACACGGAAAGGATTTATATAGTACACTACAGTGCTATATACTGAAAAAGGGAATCTGAAAAAACAAACATCTTCAACTGGTGGCCTGTACAGTATGTCAATTATATCCCAGAAATAGGTTGTTAAAATACAGCTTCATGTAGCCTTTCTGATGAATACCTTTATCTAAAAGTCTACTTTTGGGGGCACCTGAGTGGCTCAGTCGGTTAAGTGACCAACTTCGGCTCAGGTCACCATCTTGCAGTTCGTGGGTTCAAGCCCACGTGCTGACGGCTCCGAGCCTGGGGCCTGTGTCTCCCTGTCGCTCTGCCCCTCCCCCGCTCTTGCTCTGTCGCTCAAAAATAAACATCAAAAAAACCCCTTAAATGTCTTTTAGCAGCATCCAAGAAGAAAATGCTATTTTCAATTGAAAAAGCTCTTTTTTCATTTATGTTTAGAGATGATTCTTTCCACAAAAGGTAAGCAAAGTAATTTGCATTTTATAAAGTTATCTCCTACTGAGATACTGAGGCACAGATTCCAAACCATAGTTTGTAGGGGTTTTTTTTGAAGCTTCCATCCAAAATACGTTTTATTTCCTCTGTGACCCCGGAAATCTCCTGTATTGCCTATCAGGATAAAAAAAAAAAAAAAAGGAAACAATACTGCAGGGATCAGACTCGGAAAAAGTAAAGAAGGCGGAGCCCCAGGGACTACATGCACACCACCAGGTTCCTGTTTGCTGTTAAGAATCTGGTCCGAAGGCTGTTTTCCTAGAGGTTAGCTTTCCACTTCCGGTACGGAGTCACGGCGGCGGCGGCAGCCCTGCGACTTGTCCAACCGAAAGGCGGGTCAGGACCACTTCTTGGTGACATTGAGATGCTCGAGCTGGTCTCCCACGAATCTGTGGGGGGGGGCCTTGGACATGCCGGCCGCCTTGATGGCCTCGAAGGCCGCCGCCCGGCGCGCCGCCGCGTGGCCGAACTCCTGCTCGGCGGTGAGGAAGGGCCTGCTCAGCCAGTAGTGGTTCTCCGCCTCTATCTCCAGGCGACGGACCAGGTTCTGCTTCGCATGGAAGGACACGGAGCGCGGCCGCCGGTGCTTCCCCATCCACTGCCTGCCAGGAATGCGGTTGCGGCGGAGGAGGGCGGTCAGGAACATGGCGCTGCTGAGACACGGCACAAGTCGCACCACGAACCGGCTACGCGCTCGGCCGCAGGGAAGGGCAGCGCGCGCGCGACTCCGGCCCGCCTGCCGCTCAGCCACCCCCGGGAGCGCACGCCGTGCCCCCCAAAGAAGCAGGGAGCCCAGCCACGCTCCGGACGGAAGGAAAGGGACTCCCAGAGCAACGAAACACGGCCACGACTCACCGGCCGCGTCGCTCAGACGACCCCCGTCCTCCCAGCACGCCTGCGGACACGACCCCGGAAGCGCGTCCGCCTCCCGGAACCTCCTTACCCCTTCGCGCGAGACTTCAGCTCTCGCGAGAGAGGGCTCGCGCGACCCCGCGGAGCCAGGGGCACTTCCGGCGCGAAGAGATTCAAACTAGTGGCGGGCCCTGCGGGTGCGGTCTTCCTGCGGTCGGCGTCCGGCCGAGCAGTCCTCCTCCATGGAGCTGATCCGAAGCTTCTGCGCGAAGCTGCGGTCTCTGGCCGTCAGCCTGGACAGCGAGACGGCCCGGCTGCAGCGGGCGCTGGACGGAGAGGAGAGCGGTGAGTGAGGTCGGCGGGCGTCGGCGGGCGTCGCGGCTGCTGCGACGCGCGCGGGCGCGTGGACCCGCGTCAGAAGGGCCTGGGCCAGCAGGAACGCACACGCCCGCAGAAAGTGTGTCACCTCCTCGGCGTGGTGAGGGGTGCCTCGAAGGAGATACGGAATGGGGGCGGTACACCTGTGAAAATGCTCGACGTTTGTCGTTAGCAGAGCCCCGAGGGGCTGCAAGTGTCACCTTTTTATTTACTCTTCTGCCCCCGCGAGTACGTTGCGTGGCTGTGTTCAGGTCTGTGCACAACCACACCGGCCCTCCGCAAGTACTGAAGTAGCCTGTTGCTGTGTTGCGAAGAGAAACAGGATAGAGTAAACATGTACGTTAAGTTGACAGATTGAGCTCATAACACACTAATTTCTAGATGATATACTTCAAGTTGCATATCATGGATATTATTAAAAATACAGTGTAATTTAAAAAAACGCAGTTTTTTAGAAGGCTTCTTTGCTTGTAAAGTGACTTTGCCTCACCCGAATGGTCCATAGTTGCAGTAAATGTCTGTATTTCCCCCCAGCAAATCGTATTGCCAACACACACACTGGTACTCGATGCTTTTATTTATTTATTTTTTAACTAATCTTGACAGCCATCGCAGGGCTGGAACTCACGACCTGGGGACCAAGAGTCTCATGATCTTGTGACAGAGCCAACCAGGCACCCCTCAACACTGCTTTAAAAAAAAAAAAAATAGAGCAGAATTCTTCACCACTAACCTTTGTATTAGACATTTTTAAAAAATTGTTGCAAGAGTAGCTCAGGTTTTGAGATTATTTTATAAATGTCGTAAGTGTAATTTGCCTTAAAATACTGTGCTCTGCAGACACAGACTCCTTTTACGTTTGTTATATTATGAATAGTGTTCCAGCCACTTAAAAATGTGTATTCTTTTGACTATGAAACCAGTATATGTACATGACAAAAAATATGAGATACAGAAAAGTAGAAAGAGGAAAATAAATATTTCCTGTAACTCAGCCATCCAAAGACACCACTATTAATATTATATTATTTTTTGTTTTCTCTTTCTTTTTTCTTTTGTTTTTTTAAACGTAAGCTCTACACCTAGTGTAGGGCTTGATCTCATGACCCCGAGATCAGGAGTTGCATGCTCTACAGACTGAGCCAGCCAGGTGCCCCTTTGGGTTCTTGATAACTGAATTGCTTTCCACAAAGCTTGTGCTAATTTACCTTCTTACCAGCATATTAGCTGTGTACACAAATTTTGCACTTTCTTCTGGTTTTATAAGAAAAAGTTGGGATAATTTTTCTATTTGTGGCCAATATGTATTACAGAAAATATGAATTTGGGGCGCCTGGCTGGCTCAGTTAAGCGTCCAACTTTGGTTCAGGTCATGATCTTGGGGTTCATGGGTTGGAGCCCCACATCAGACTCCGTGCTGACAGCTCAGAGCCTGGAGCTGCTTCAGAGTCTGTGTCTCCCTCTCTCTCTGTCCCTCCCCGGCTCGCACTGTTTCTCTCAAAAATTAATAAAAACTTTTTAAATTTTAAAGAATAGATGGAATTGTGATAGAGAAAATGATCACCAAAAATTTCAGCTTTTATGGTCACAGTGATGAATCACTAAACTGACTTTTTAAACTTCTTTATTGAGGTGTAATTCCCATAATATAAAATTCAGCATTTAAAGGACACGATCCAGTGGTTCTTGGTGGATTCACAGAGTTGTGCAGCCATTGCAGTAAGTTTAGATTTTCATCACCCTCAACCGAGACCCCCGTGACTGGTAACGTCCACTCCCCGTCACCCCATCCCACCTGCCCCACTAGCCCTCGGCAACCGCTGCTCTACTTTCTGCCTGTATGTATTTGCATGTTCTGGGTATTTCATATAAAAGGCATCCTACGAAAGTAGGCTTTTGTGACGGACTTATTTCAGCATGATGTTGCAAGTTCATCCATGTTGTAGCATGTATCAGTAATTCATTCCATTATTTTGCTGAATAATATTCCATTGTATGGCCATCCCACATTGTGTTTATTCATCAGTTGATGAACATTTGGGTTGTTTCCACTTTTTAGATATTGTGAATATATGCAAACATTTCCGGTGAACTTTATGTTTTCAATTCTCTTTGGTATACAGTTAGAATTGCTGGGTCATATGGTAAACCTACGTTTAACTTTTTGAAGAGCTGCCAAATCGTTTTCTAAAGTGGGTACACCATTGTACATTTCTACCAGCAATGCAGTTTCTCCACATCCTCATATTTATTATGATCTGTCTTTCAAATACAGCCATTCCAGTAGGTACGAGGTATCACTGCATGTTGACTTGCATTTCCCAAATAAAAAGTGGGGTAAGCTCTAACAGGTGAAAGGAGACCTTCAAAGGAGGCAGGTCTTAGAAAGAAAAACATAATTCTTTAAAAAACTGCTTTTGTGTGATGTGTATTACATACATTGCAACTGACTGGTAAGAGAGGGAACAGTACAGTGGGTGAAGGGTGTCTTTTCAATAAATGGTGCCTGGTCAGTTGAACACTCATGGAAAATAAGAATGGATATTGATCCTTACCTCATGCCATATGAAAAAAATCCATTTCAGGAGGATTGTAGCTCTAAATGCAAAAGGCAGAACAATTTCTTTCTTTTAGAAGAAAGCATAAGTACTGTTATTGCCAAAGATTTTAAAAATAGGAACCAAAAAGTGCTCATTATAAAAAAAATTGCTAGATAGGATTACATTTCCTCCTTCTCCCCTTCCTCCCTCCCTTCTTTCCTTCTTGATCTGAGTGCTAATTATGTAGGCATGTTCACTTTGAAATTTATCAAGCTGTATACTTCTGATTTTTGTACTTTTTTGTATGTATGTTATAATTTAATTTTAAAAGCCTTAATACTTTTCTTTGTAATTGACAAGAAACAAATCATAAATAAATATCCACAAGGGTTTTTAAATTCTAAGAAACAATACTAAATTATATTTTCTATTCTTTTTCCTCCTTTTCCTAATTGCACTTCTTCCTTATTGTATTTTTTCCTTTCTCTACTCATACTGAAGACTTTGAAGACTATCCAGCGAGAATTTTATATGACCTTCATTCCGAAGTCCAGACTCTAAAGGTATTAGTCCTATAATATAAATTATCATCTTTGTGTGGTAATTTTTAAATAAATAGATTTAGTCTTTTAGTCTTAAGGCTAAGTCTTTTGATAAAAAAATTATAATGTACTTTTTTTCCTCATAAAAGGATGATGTCATTCTTCTTCTTGATAAAGCAAGTTTGGAAAGTCAAGAAAGCATTGGTTTTGTAAAAGCAACAAAAGTACTAATGAAGAAAAATTCAATGGATATCATGAAAATAACAGAGTTTTTCCAGAAGTATGGATATAATCCACGTGACAAGAAAAATGCAGGTGTGAATGATTGGCATTTTATGGCATTTGTCTAAGTATTAAAGAAGGAAGGCAGCGTGATTAAGTACAGTTACTCTGGGCTTGGTCATGGTGTCTGTTCCTGGATCTGCCGTTACGTGACTGTTTTATGTGATCATTTATTCAGCAAACGCTGCTGGATGCAGTGCTGATTGGTGGTGCCAATGGAAGACAGACCTTCCTCTCCTGCACAAAGTGCTATGTGAAAGGCAGGACAGATCTGCATGATTTTAGGACAGTTGGTTTCTAGTCAGCTCTGCCAAAGGTAGCTGCGAGACTGATCTTAAGGCATGCTATTTCAGTTTTCTTGTTCTCAGTTTTTTCTTCTGTAGAAGGAGAAATTGGGGGCAACATAAACTGATAAAGTCCTTTTTTTTAAGTTGTACAATTCTAACAAAGGGTAGGATTGCATGGTGTTTTAGAATTTAGAGCCAAACAATCTGAATGCAAATCTGTAACTCTGCCATTTACTAACTGTATTATCTTTGACCAGTTACTTAACCTTGTACCTCAGTATCTCATCTGTAAAGTGGAGATGTTGACTAGTATCTACCTTTGAGGTTGTAGAAGGATTGAATGAGATAAAAGTTGTTTAGAATAGTGCCTGGCATGTTAGTCACATGGTGTTAACTATCGTTATGCCCATACCCGTGAGTGACTAATTTCAATATACTTCAGTGTCTTTGTTTCTGTTATGAGAATGATCTTTGTACATAAATAAACCATTAGTTAAATTCAAAAAACATATATTGAGGATATGGGTGGAGGGTATTATCTGCACGGTACAGTGGAAAGAATTCAGTTGACTTTAGCGTGAACAGCTATGGACTCAAATGTAGGCTCCACCAGCTACTATGGGTGTGTGACCTTGGATCATTTCTCTGAATTGCTTTATTCTCCCTTGCAAAATGGGGATGATAGTAACTCCCTATGACACAGTGAAACAGCGATGATTTTATTAATCTTCTCAGTGACAGCCTTGTGATAAATACAAGAATAAGTTTTTGGTGGCCCTTATAACATGTCTCAGAATTAACAGAAAGCACAATGCCGAGACAGAACTCTGAATCAGCAGCTCTTCCAAGGGCCAAAAGCCATGAAACCAGAGTCTGTAACCTTTTTTTTTTTTTTTTTTTTGGTATGGTACATACTCCGTGCTTAACACGTCCTGGTTTATCATGCGTGCAAAACCTGTACTCTATCCTAGTTCATGTCCTGTTGCCAGTCAAAACAAACAAAATACTACCTTCAAAGAAAAATTGTTCACCTCTTCATTCCTCCAATCTGTTGGATCTCTTAGCTGGCCGACTAAATGTACAGCCTAAATTAATCCCTTCCTATTCCTTTGTACCCAAAAGATTCTGATAAGGATCTATACCAATGTCTGATGGACCCCATTTTAACTATAGACCTTCCTTTAAAGATGAAGAGAAACAAAAAAGATCATTATCAGACCCAACAAAGATACATTCCAATTCATAACAAGAAAAGTACAAATACTTTCTTCTTAAAAAGAATACAACGGACAGGATATTTTAGAGAAATTTTTTCCCATTTCCATCAATAAGTACAGTTGTTACAATTCATATTTCCAATTTAGCAACCCGTGATATCTATTCAAGGTTGTCTGAAACACATCTCTGTATTAACTCCCTCCATTCTTATTCTTAAACAGATGGCAGTGTTTGGAATCAAAGGATGTGAGGTCAGGTTTTGGCTCTTTACATTTTATCAGCTGAGTGTTCTCCAAACTGGTGTTTATGTATAAAAATGAAAAAATATTCAAAGAGATTTTGTGCTTGAAATAGTTCATATGAAAACTGAGTGAAACATTCAAATGCCTGTCCCATGGAGGATTCTAAACACATTTCCATTTCTTTTCCTTCATCTCACCCTCTCCATGTTTTCTTGCTTTCTGTTACCCTCATTACTGGTTCTTTTTTCTTTTCCACTTCATGCTACACACTTCACAGTTGCCCTCCGTTTCCTTCAAACCCATCTTGCTATCTCACTGAAGCCCTGTCATTCGTTAAGTTAATCTCTGCCCAGATCCCGGCCAGATCCACGTATCTTCATTCTGGTTGTCCTTTTTGACTTTCTGTTGTCTCTCACACTAAAAGCTAGTGTTTTCCCTTCTCCAGTTCCTTGGCATCATGGGTGCTGTCCTGGACCTTTTAAGTGCAACTTGGGTCCCACACCAAATTCCTTAACCATTGACAGATGCAGGAAATGGCAAAGGATTATGGGGAAAAGCGTAGTTGTTAGTAAATTATTGATTTTGAAATGTACAGTGTGGTGATTAACCGTATGGGGTCTGGAGCCAGATATAACCTATCCAAGGTTGAGAAGCTACATGTCTTTCTAATGCTCTCCTTTTATTTTCCTCAACCAGGCTTTTGATACAGGTGTTCCAGACTGAGGATAAAAATTTATCTTGACGGACAATCTTTCCTTCTTTTTTTTTTTTTCTTTTTATTTTTTTTAATGTTTTATTTATTTCTAGGAGAGAGAGAGAGCGTGAGCAGAGGAGGGTCAGAGAGAGAGGGACTCACAGACTGAAACAGGCTCCAGGCTCTGAGCTGACAGTTAGCACAGAGCCCGACGCGGGGCTCGAACNCTATTTTGAGATTCTGGGATTTTTATTGTCTTATGACCATGGCAGGGAGAAAAAATCTATAGTTTTCACCATCTGATTGTGTCACCTAATATCAAGACAATCAATTTTACTTCTTTTTTTTTTAATTTTTTTTTTAATGTTTTATTAATCCCTAGGAGAGAGAGAGAGAGACAGCGTGAGCAGGGGAGGGTCAGAGAGAGAGGGAGTCACAGACTGGAACAGGCTCCAGGCTCTGAGCTGGCAGTCAGCACAGAGCCCGACGCGGGGCTCGAACCCATGAACCGCGAGATCATGACCTAAGCGAAAGTCGGACGCTTAACCGACTAAGCCACCCAGGCGCCCCTCAATCTTTCCTTCTTAACTTAGGCATCTGTACATGAAAAATCTAAACTAATGTTATACTTTGTGTTAAATCTAGATCATAGTTAATTACACACTGTAATTAATGTCATAAAATGATAATGTTGTTCCAAAGTTTATTTAAAAAGATTGGTAGATCACATTAACTGGGGAAGTAAGGATATTGGACTTTTATTTGCATTGATTTGTCATCTTTTAGCACTTTAGTTTACTTTCCTTCTTTAATGTGTCATCAGAATGGGGTATGGGTAGATAAGAGGTACAGAACTTCCCTAAAGTGACAATTGAAAAAAACTTTAGAGACTAAGAAGGGAATCAGGACTTTTGCTCATTTGGGGGACATTTCAAATGGAGCTGTTTTATGTGGCTTTAGTATGTGGGATTTTGTGGTTTGATGTTTGACCAGAACATGACCTCCTTGGTTTCCTCACAGTGGATGAACAAGAAATCACGGACTCTGAATCAGAGTCCACGAAGCATGAAAATTTTCAAATGCCTGATGTGAAGGACGGTCTGTCTGATCCTGCTGTTCCGAGCACTTCTAGTTCTGAGAAGTCTCCACGGAGTCCCCAACTTTCAGATTTTGGACTTGAGCGGTACATGATATCCCAGCTTCCACCAAACCCCCCACAGGCAGTAAACGACTATGAGGAAGAGCCCCAAGCCCTAAGTCTATCTGCCAAGCAGCCCCTGGTTAAAGTACTAAAAACTCCAAAATGTGCACTAAAGATGGATGATTTTGAGTGTGTAACTCCTAAATTAGAACACTTTGGTATCTCAGACTATACTGCATGTTTAAATGAAGATTACACGATGGGACTTAAAAATATGAAGGAGAATAAAAGGTAAGCCGCCTTTAAAACAATGTTTATTTATTTATTTTGAGAGAGAGAGAGAGCAGGAGTGGAGGAAGGGCAGATAGAGCAGGTAAGGGTAAACCCCAAACAAGCTCCGCATTGCCAGCACAGAGCCCACTGCGGGGCTTGAACTCTCTAACTGTGAGATCATGACCTGAGCCAAAGTCAATAGTCAGACGCTCAACCGACTGAACCCCCAGGTGCCCCGAAAATAATCAGCTTTAAAAAGAATTGTCATTATCAGGTGTCTACAGAGTACTGCCACAGGCCACTGCCAGCCTGCTCCCTATTTTTTGGTAAATAAAGTTTTATTGGAGCACAGATTTAAAAAGTTCCTTTTTGGGGGTACCAAGGTGGCTCAGTTGGTTAAGTGTACAACTCTTGATCTCAGCCCGGGGCTTGATCTCAGCCTTGTGAGTTCAGGCGCCTGTGAAGGCCCCACGCTGGGCTTGACGCTGGACATGAAACCTACTTTAGAAAGTTCTTTTTCTAAAACATCTAAGACAGAAAACACTGAAGTTAGTTTGTGAGATTGACACACCCTTGATAACATTGACAGAGCATGCAAAAGAAAACTACTGCCAACCCGCTTATAAATACGGATGTAAAATCCCAATTAAAATACTCAAAAATTGAATTCGCAGAATATCACTAGTGGATAACTTACAAGTTAAGCTTATCCCAGGAATGCAAAGAGAGTTTAATACTTGAAAACTCAAAACGTACATTATTTAATGATTTAATTAAAAAAGAAAAAAAAAGGATAATCTTAATAGATGCCAATAAGGAATTGGATAAAATTTTTTAAAGTTTATTTTGAGAGGGAGAGAGAAAGCGCATGCAAGTGGGGGAAGGGCAAAGAGAGAAGGAGAGAGAATCCCAAGCAGGCCCTGTGCTGTCAGCCCAGAACCTGACGTGAGGCTCAGTCTCATGAATTGTGAGATCATGAGCCCAAATCAAGAGTCAGACGCTTAACTGACTGAGCCACCTAGGCGCCCTAAGAATTTGGTAAAATTTGATACTCATTCCTTTAAAATGCTTGGTCAAACCCCAAATAGAGTACTTCATTAACATGATAAATTACAGATCTCCAACTTAATAGTGAAGCTGTCTGTCACCATTATTTAACATCATTCTTGATACTTTCGCCAATAGCAAGTACTTCTAGGCCATGTTTTGTACATGGCAACCCAAGAAAGTCACATCTCAAACTTCAAGAAAGAGGCTGATAGAAGATATGTTTTATATTGTGGTAAGGTGACCATTTAAAATAATGTTTTCCTATATTTTATTAATAACTAGTTCCTAAACAGAGTAGGAAAAAATTCATTCAGACTTGCATCAAAAATGTGAAAGACTGATGTCAGTCATGGTGTAAGAAGATCTACGTGTTAAAAACCATAAAATATTTCTGGGTTAAGTAAGGAAAAATTGGGGAATATAATGTTTTAACTTCATCCTAATAGACTGTTGTTAAGATGCTTAATCACGACAAATTAATTTATAGATGTCATGCATTTACAACAAAGCCTCAGTAGGATTTTTTAAAGGTAAATGATAAAATGACTCTAAAATTTGTTTGGAAGAATGAAAAGTAAATGTAGCCAAAAAAGGGGTGCCTGGCTGTTTCAGTCAGAAGAGCGTGCAACTCTTGATCTTGAGGTCATGGGTTTGGGCCCTGTGTTGGGTGTAAAGATTACTTAAAAACATAAAATCTTAAATAAAAGTAGTCGCTACAATAGTAATAAAAATAATAGTAATGAGGGAATTCGACCTACTAATGGTAAAATATCTAAAGCTACAGTAAGTAAAACTGTCACAGAAAAGACTTGTAACTGGAACAGAATACCCCAGAAACCGATTCCAATTTACATAACTTATAGAAGAAGATGTTTTGGAGGTAAAAATCACTCAGTGAATTATGCCAGCACAACTGGTTAGTTGAACCATCTTGTAGTATTTGATGATACTTCTCTGTATATTTTCAGACATCTGAGTAAATGGCTACAATACCCTGAGTGAGATCACAGGGTCTTTTTTAGTCTAAAACAAAGACAGGTTCTTAATTTATATCTGTAAACTGGCTGCAAAATTCCACTGTATGGTTTTGAAACCATGAGCCGTGTAGCCCCTGTATTTGAACAAATGAGTTAAACTTACGGCGTTCCTGTAAGTCAGGGTTTCTTAACCTGCTTCTCAGTCAAGGCTGTCAGTACAAAATGGTTCACGACCTTTTTTGAGCCACGTGTGTGCGTTAATAAAAAAGTTCAGTGGTACGTGTGTTACGCAGAATAGGACTGGACGTTTGTCTGGACTTGACAGTATATGGTAAGACTGCATTTTCCCCCCAGAGGTTCAATGTTAACTTTTTTACCTTATAATTTCCCTATGAATCATACCAGGGAGAGGGCTGTAGAATCAGAACCAGTGACCGGTGAGAATTTCTTTGCTACTCCTGGCCTCGTAATCCAGAAGTTGAAAAAAAATGGTGAGTATAAGAACTACATTACTTCTCGTCTATCCTCTTTCTGGATTATCTTGGTACAAAAATGGTTGCATCGGGGCGCCTGGGTGTCTCAGTCGGTTAAACATCCAACTTTGGCTTAGGTTATGATCTCACGGTTCATGGGTTTGAGCCCCGCATCGGGCTCTGTGCTGACAGCCTGCTCAGAGCCTGGAGCCTGTTTCAGATTCTGTCTCCCTCTCTCCCTGACCCTCCCCTGCTCACACTGTCTCTCTGTCTCAGAAATAAATAAAAACATAAAAAAAAAAAAAAGGTTGCATCAGCTTAGACATAGTCCTTCTGCATCTTTTTTTTTTTCTTAAATATTTTTATTTATTTCTAGGAGAGACAGAGAGAGAGACAGCGTGAGCAGGGGAGGATCAGAGAGAGAGGGAGACACAGACTGAAACAGGCTCCAGGCTCTGAGCTGGCAGTCAGCACAGAGCTCGACGCGGGGCTCGAACCCACGAACCGTGAGATCATGACCTAAGCGAAAGTCGGACGCTTAACCGACTAAGCCACCCAGGCGCCCCAATTACTTCTGCATCTTGTCAGTTCATAACATTGAATCATGTAAAGTACCGTTCTATTGGGTGCAGCGTGATTCCATCCTAGAGAAAGATACAATTTCCTGGTATGCTTTCCATAGCTTTACTGATTATAGTCAGTATTCATCTGGGGCGCCTGGGTGGCTCAGTCAGGTAAGCATCTGACTTCAGCTCAGGTCATGATCTCGCAGTCAGTGAGTTCAAGCCCTGCATCGGGCTCTGTGCTGACAGCTCAGAGCCTGGAGCCTGCTTTGGATTCTGTTTCCCTCTCTCTGCCCCTCCCCTGCTCATGCTTGCTCACTCGCTCGCTCGCTTGCTCTCTCTCTCTCTCTCTCTCAAAAAAAAAAAAAAGTATTAAAAATATATATTTGTCAGCTTGTTTGTTTTTAACATTTTAACTTAGAACATAAATGTATATTCATTCAGCCAACTTCTGATGCAGAATCAATAGTACCTTTTTTTAAAAAAGTTTCAGCCTGTTGATTAGATTCTTCCTTATTTTCTTACATAAACTATACTCAGAATACAGTAGCTACCATTTCAAATTGTTTTCCCATATTCTGGAAAATGCTTAATTGCCACCCAAGGGTGGCTGTTCTGATTCCCACCAGCAGTGTTTATGATCCTATTTCTCCATCTTTCCCAGCACGTGATTTTTAGACTTAATAAAATTTTGCTAGCCTGATCATTTTAAGATTGCTTTCGCCATACTCTGGGTTAGAGTTACATGTCTGTAAACACATGGGTCTGCTTCTGCGATCTCTTTCTTGTTCTGATAGTTACAGCTTCAGAGTAAATCCTAATGTCTTAGAAGGTAGGTGACCTCCTTGTCCTCTTCCGTCCCCCTTTTCTTCTTTAGAAATTTGATTTTCTTCATAAAGTTCATACAGATTTTGTCTCTCACAAATAAACATTAAAAAAATAATTTTGTTTATTTTTGAGAGAGTACGAGCAGGGGAGGGGCAGAGAGAGAGGGAGACAGAATCTGAAGCAGGCTCCAGGCTCCGAGCTGTCAGCACAGAGCCCGCATCGGGGCTCGAACCCATGGGCCATGAGATCATGACCTGAGCTAAAGTCTACCACCCACCTGCCTGAGCCATCCAGTTGCCCCTCAACTTTATTTTCCAATGTATAATTTCATGCCATTGTTTGTGTCTTTTAGGTGGCTACTGTACAGATTCCCCCTTGGCGCCCACATTCTGCACTCCTGGTTTGAAAATTCCTTCTACAAAGAATAGTACAGCTTTGGTGCGTTTCCACAACCGTGAAAGCTCCAGTCTTTTTCCTGATGACTCATATACACTATTATTTCTAGACTTCGTCTGTTTTAAAAACCTTGACTGTTGTATGTCAACTGTATTTCAATTTAAAAACAAAACCACTTAGACTACTGCAGCCTTTACGAGTATATTTACAAACTTCTGGAGGGGAATTTAAGGGAATTTGGCAGCATATAGCAAAAGCTTTAAAGTTTTTTCATACCCGTTAACCATGTCTCAGAATTTACTCTAAGGTACATTGGCACAAAGAATTATAACAAGGTTACAGAGGAAGGAGCAGCATTATTTATAAGAGCAAAGCATGGGGAAAACCTAAATGTCAAGTGGTCACATAGAAGGAAAATACACTAAGGTGTGTATGGTTTTCTGTAACTAGCACATGTTTTTATTTTTTTAATATTCATTTATTTATTTTGACACAGAAAGTAGCGAAGGGCCAGGGGGAGAGAGAATCCAAAGCAGGCTCCGCGCTATCAGTGCAGAGCCTGATGTGGGACTCAAACTCACGAACCATGAGATCATGACCTGAGCCGAAACAAAGGTCAGATGCTGAACTGAGCCCCCGAGGCGCCCCTAGCATATGTTTTAAAGCACAGATAACATAAAAAGAACATTTTTTTTTTAAATTTTTAATGTTTTATTTATTTCTAGGAGAGAGAGACAGCGTGAGCAGGGGAGGGTCAGAGAGAGAGGGAGTCACAGACTGAAGCAGGCTCCAGGCTCTGAGCTGGCAGTCAGCACAGAGCCCGACGCGGGGCTCAAACCCACGAACCGCGAGATCATGACCAGAGCGAAAGTCGGACGCTTCACCGACTAAGCCACCCAGGCGCCCCAAACATTTTGAAGAAAATGACATGCATGCACATGTATACATGTGCGCACACACACACAATATACTTTGTTTCAAAGAAAAAGAATAAAAGAATGGATAGAAACACACCAAAGTGTGATTACATCCAGGTGACAAATTTATGGGTGACTTCTGCTTTTTCCAAATACTTCTCAATGAACAAATTAATGGAATCATGCCTCATCCCATTTTTGAGGTTGCTGTGGGCATGTACAACCACCAGCACTGCAGACCGGGGGGCAATCCCTAAGATGTGGCTAGTGCATCTGAGGGACCTAAGTTTTACTTTTAAAAATGTGATGAATTTCGGGGCGCCTGGGTGGCTTAGTCGGTTAAGCGTCCGACTTTCACTTAGGTCATGATCTCGCGGTTCGTGGGTTCGAGCCCCGCGTCGGGCTCTGTGCTGACTGCCAGCTCAGAGCCTGAGGCCTGTTTCAGTCTGTGACTCCCTCTCTCTCTGACCCTCCCCTGCTCACGCTGTCTCTCTCTCTCTCCTAGAAATAAATAAAAANAAAAAAAAAAAAAAAAAATTAAAGATTTAAAAAAAAAAAAAAAATGTGATGAATTTAAAACTAAATCCAAATAGACCCGTGCGGCTGGTTACCACTGTCTTGGCCAGGTAGATAGACTGACAAAATACTAGTATCAGTTGAAGGATCTATCGGGTTATCTCCTAGTACTTGCCGCTTAAAATGGATCCACTCCTGTGTTCCCTGTGCTTGTGGAAGGCCCTCTACTGATGTGACTCTATTAACTCTGGCCCTGGAGAGAGGAGGCGATTTACTGGATTGGTCAGGTTGGCATGAATCACATGCTAAGTTCTCCTCACACGGGCTGTGCCTGCCTACAGAGCGAGGGCGTGTGGTAACCTTTTCCTCACCCGTGGTGTTACTCTTACCTGGGCCAGCTTCGTGTTCCCTGAAACTGGGTGGGTGAGTCCGTCTAAAGCTGTCTCAGACCCGGTTCGTTCTCATGTTAAACCGAAGATGGGATTTTGTGCTCCATGTGCCATTTCTGTGTTTCCTCCATTTTCTTTGTGATCGGTCGAGGAAGAGCAGGTCACTTTTGTGCAACACAACTAAAACTGACTAGTGATTTTTATTTACTGTGTTTTATGCCATCATGATTTCATGATTTATTTTCGTTCAATAGGAATCCACAAATTACCCATTATCAGAAACAAACGGTTCATCAAATGATTTGGAAATGAAAGACTGTACATCGTTAGTTTTAAATTCAGAGAAGTGTTGTGAGAGTTTTGCAGATCCCTCTTCTCCCGTAATTTCTTCTTACGAGAATCTGCTGAGAACACCTACCCCTCCAGAAGTCACTACCATTCCAGAGGATATTCTCCAGGTTAGTTTTCCAGGCTATTTCTTTTTCTGATACATTCCTTTCAAAATCAGATGTTTACATTAAAGACCTGAAACTATATAAAAACTGTCTTATTTCTCATTGGGCTAACGTGCTAGATTGTGTCCTGAGAAAATCTAAACTCTGGGCTCTTAGTCCCTCCTGAGAGCACCGGGTAGGCTGTTCTGGCTGAGCATGAACTCACCATTTCATCATACTTTTATTTCCTCGTGGCACATTTTCTCTTTGCGTGCTACTTGTTCTGAAATTTATTCTTATAGTATTTCCTAATAATTGTTCACCTGCAATTTCTATGTTGACTGTTTCCACTGGAGGTGTGGCTGGCAAAATCGGAAATGCCGTTTATGTCACAGTTCTCCAGGGAAGGGTATCACGAATAACTTCTATCAGTTTTTTTGAACCTGAGGCATCTTGGACTTCAGTTTAAGAAAAGTTGACTTAAATGTTAGAATATCTAATTTTTTTTTTAAATGGTTATGTATTTATAAGGGTGGGGGCGGAGGAGAATTTCAAGCAGGCTCCACACTGTCAGTGCAGAGCTCGACTCAGGGCTCGGTCCCACGAACTGTGAGATCGTGACCTGAGCCGAACTCAAGAGTCGGATGCTTAACCGACAGAGCCCCCAGGCACTCCAAGAATGTCTGATTGTTTAGTACGTCACCTACCTCTAGTCTCCTACTGATCTGTAAGGACTGCCAGCTCGACTCTGCGACCGCCAGTCCTCCCCACCGTAACTGAAGTTAGAGTGGCAGCTATCGCTTAGGCAGTTGGAATTGTGCAGAACCATTCTCGCAAGCTCCTTAGCTGTGACTTTCTGGAATAATAACTAAACGCCAGGAGAGCGGACTCATCCTGGGATATCAAGAAAGTATTTGTTGCCCTTTGTTCTCGGTCTTTTCTGTTTTCCTGGACATTAGACACTTGAGCGAGCATGTTGTCTTTATGGGAATTATCTCGAGTTTCTACTTTGCTGGGGTTAGTCCTTCTCTTTTTATTTTTACGTGAAAGGGGGGGAGCCTTTTATTTAATGTATCACCTCTTCAGATATGAAAACAAATCATAGCTGATATTTCAGACTCTCCTTTTTATAATCTTCCGTAGCTGATCATCTTTCTTTTGAGCATGTATTTTGTCCTTTCCTATATTTATTTTCCCTGACAATGTTGTAAAGGCTTCATTTGCTCTTGGGGATATGTTAGTGCTTATTTTACTTCCATTAATCTTAAGAGTACATTTTAGAAGGCTTCGGAAGTCAAGCCTCCACATTAAGGTTCAGTTTCTAACCGTCCTTTCTTTGCTGTTGAATGTCTGTGCTGCTGAAAAAAGTACTGTTTCAAATAACCCATAGCTTTACATTTTTGGCTTTTTTTTTTAAGATTTTTGTTTGGTAAGTTTATTTTTGAGAGAGAGACAGAGAGAAAGTGGGGAAGGGGCAAAGACGGAGAGAGAATCCCTAGCAGTGTCTGCACTTTCAGCGCAGAGCTTGCTTGATGTGGGGGGCTCGAACTCACAAACTGTGAGATCATGAGAGTCAGATGCTTAACTGACTGAGCCTAGCTCCTCTTCTTGGCTCTTCTTGAGTATTTTATAACACCTTCCAAGTCTGTTGTGTAGTTCGTATGACTTGATAAAAAGAAATTTGTTTCGTTTCAGATTTTATCAAAATACAACTCGAACCTCGCTACACCAGTGGCGGTGAAGGCCGTGCCGCGCAGCAAAGGGCTCCCCCCCCAACACGGAGGACCGAGCATCCGAAGCTTTGGCAACAAAGAAAACTGGTGAAGGTACGGCGCCCTTGCCAAGAAAGCACCCGTGTTACTGGAGGAAGACATTTAAAAATGAGCGTTCAGAACACGGTAAAAACGTTGTAGTTGACACTTGCCAGCTTAGGTTAACAGCCTGTCTCTCTCCTGATGCCGAGCTTGTCCCTGGAATTCCGGTTCCCACGCTGGCAGGCTGGAGGACGCCCCTGGGGACCTACGTTACACGGTTTTCTAAGTGTCAAAATAGGAGTCATCATGTCCTGTGGTCGATGTCTATTATTATACTGAATGGATTTTTTTTTAACTTTGTATCTTTTTGCAGAAAGTTTTGCAAGTATGGACACTGACCAGAAGGCGCTGGAGGCAGAGCTGGACTGACTGATCACATCGGCCTACCTTCTCCCCTTGTAAACACCAGCCGTATTAAAGAGGAACATGGACACTGGTCTGCTTTTTGTTGAGATCTGACTTCGTTTACCTTGGTCTTCCTCAGTCATTCCGTTTTTTTTTTAAATGTTTCATTTATTTCTAGGGGAGAGAGAGAGCGTGAGCAGGGGAGGGTCAGAGAGAGAGGGAGTCACAGACTGAAACAGGCTCCAGGCTCTGAGCTGGCAGCCAGCACAGAGCCCGACGCGGGGCTCGAACCCACGAACCGCGAGATCATGACCCAAGCGAAAGTCGGACGCCCAACCGACCAAGCCACCCAGGCGCCCCAAGTCATTCCGTTTTTAAAGATCATCACGCCTGCACTGGTTTCACAGTGACCCTGCCTGACCCAACCAGCTGGAGGTGTGATACCAGGAAGCAGGTCAATAATCAGGTTCTTAAATGATCACTGTTTGTCCTTCAGACAAGGCCGTCCTGATCCGCGGCGAGGTGGCCGTGCCGTCGGCTAGAGCGGCCCCTCCTGGGCTCTGGCTCTGTCCTTGCCCGGCCTCGTGTCTCAGGACGGTCCCAGAGCCCCCCACACCTGTCAGCAGCGCGGAGACTGTGGTTTACAGGTGACCTCATTTAGGAAGAGGGAGGGGTCTGCAGGCCCGGGCGACTATACTGCAGGCGGCCTCGGGCCTCGGGAGGACGGACCCCCGGAACCAGGGCCCACCCGTCAGGACGCGTGCTTTTCGTTTCTACGCACAGATTTGTACACGTCAGTTTCATCCTCCTGAATCCACTCCCCCCCCACCACATGGCTGCTGACCTTTCCACATTCCCGCTCTCCAGCTTGGCCACCCAGCCACCCCCGAGCCTCTATCTGGAAGGTTTTGCGGACTCTTCCTGGGCCAGGTGCCCTTCTGGGGACTGTCACCTGTGACCCCAGGAGGCGGGAGACCCTTGTCTCTGGAGCTTCAGGCCACCCTGTCCAAGCCCAGGATCCTTTCTATGTAAGCGGGAAGTAGTTCTAAGTTCGTGCAAGTATTGGCGAACTCCAGGTTACAACCAAAGGGAAGAGAAGGGCCTGGCCTACTGTGGACACCGGTTAAAAATTTGAGAAGAAACAGGTGGCGAGTATCGTGACAAGGTGCTTCCGGTTCCCAAGCCTGGCCTTCAGAGGCGGAGGTCTGGGCAATCTGAGGCAGTAAAGATCACCCTTTCATGATTGTGCCTTGGAAGCCCAATGTGAAGGCCCGTCTCGTTGTGCTCTTTTCATTCTGTTAGAAAATCATCCCCAAAACAATACTTCTTTGTTCTAGGAATCACATGCGGTTATAATGTAATTTTTGTTAAATGTAGAGTAACATAATTTTCAAGAGTTTTAGTCTTACTTTTCGAAGAGAAGCTCTGCCTGATGTTATCTGTGACCGTCTCACATGCTGTCCGCCTCCTATGGGCGGTTTCCTAGAGCTTCCTGCACAGGGATCCACAGAGCAGGGGAGGTGGCTTCAGGAGAGAGGAGTGGATTCAAAGCACACTCAGGGCTGAACCCTGGAGTTCTCCTGGCTCTGGGAGACGGGAAGAGGCAGGGCAGTCCGGCAAAGGTTGAGAAGAGGCCAGTGAAGGCAGAAACTATTTCACAGAGAGAGTGATCGATTCTGTCGATACGGCTGAGAATCTAAGTGAAAGGAAGACAGGAGTGACCACTGGGCTTGGCAAAACTAAGGTTACTGACAGAACTAGTTGTTTTTTAAAATGTTTATTTTTGAGAGAGACAGAGCATGAGTGGGGGAGGGCCAGAGAGGGAGACACAGAATCCAAAGCAGGTTTCAGGCTCCCAGCTGTCAGCGCAGAGCCTGACACGGGGCTCGAACCCATGAACCGTGCGATCATGACCTGAGCCAAAGTTGGACGTTTCACTGACTCAGCCACCCAGATGCCCCTGACAGCACTAATGCTGATGGAGACCTAGGGGCAGAAGTTCGCGGTGGACTGAAGAGAAGGCGGCGGGGCGGGGGAGGGGCAGGGAGATGGTGAGAAGCAGCAAGTGTTTTAAGATGGGCAATAACGTTGCAGTAAGCATTTCCGGTTGCCTGTTTTTGTCATGGCCCCTCAGATGCCATTTGGCCAAAGCCTCTGTCCCTGACCCTCGTGTTTCTCCTGTGGTCCTAGGTTCTGTCACTCAGAACTACGGTGCTTCCTGCTTATCAAGCTTCCAGCGTTAGCGTCTTGCAAGCCTCTTGCCTCATTTAAAGCCCTCCAGCGGCTCCCTACGCTTCCGGAATGAGATCCCAGACCTTTAACGCGGCCTGGACGGCCCTGTATGACCTGACCTTAGGGAACTCCTCCCTCTTCTCTCGCCCCCTGTGCTCCCGCCGCGCAGGCCAACTTCCCTTCTCTTCCTCACACGCACTGCTCTCCATACGGCCCTCCCATCCGAGCCGCCCATGTTAGTCTGGCCCCGCCGCGGCCCAGCTCCGGGCTCAATGAGGCGACATTGCGATCCCCGGCCACACCAGTCGGCGCTGGGCTTATGACCCAAGTCAAGTCCGCGACGGCCAACTCTAGGTCTCTGGGGAACTGCGGGTAAACAACACGCCGGACTCCTTGCTGTGCAGAGATGCACACCCGGCGCTGCCGGCCGCCATCTTCTCGCCACGACGGGACCGGAGCCCCAGCTGGAGACCGTGTGGGTTGAGGTCGGACAACCGGGCCCATTCACCCGGCTGGGCCTGCCGCCAACAGCTGCGGCCGTTCAGTGAAATGCGCCATCAGCTCCTCTGCCACGCTAGCTGGAGCTGCCTCGTTTCAAAGGAGTTTTGGGTGACGCTCCTCGGGTCTCAGGGTGAACGTCCTTATTTCCCCCCGTCCCAGGGGGCTCCTCCCTCACTTCTGCGCCCCGGGCCCGTCCGTCACAGCAGCAGCTGTAGCATGTGTGGTAAGATACTCGGGTGTACGTTTTCGTCGCTACTAGTGGACCGTGAGCTCAGTAAGACCTTGTTTGCTTTTGTTCGTCCTGCAGATACCCAGCAACTGAGTTACTGAGAGAATTCGTGGTAACGTCCCACCCCGCTCCGCACGGTTCTAAATACGTTAGCCGGCTCTTAGATCAGCTCTGAGGAAGTTAGAAGCACTACCATCCCGACTTTCAGATGAGTAAACTGTGGCTTTAATGACTGCCTCTCCTTTTCCAGCTCCCATTCTCCACCCCACATCTTGCTTCCGAATCTTACGGATGGCCTGACGTGTCCGGGACACGTTCCTTCCCCTTTCCCCTCTGCCACTACTGTGATTCTCACCTAAATTATCGCAGTAGCATCAGACATTTCCTTTAGATCATAAGCTCCAGCCAACACGTAAGTCAGTGCTTCCTTCCTCACGTCATTGCCTTTGCACATGCGAGACGCTGGACGTGGACTATAAATCCAGCCCAACTGCTGTCAGTTAGGAGTTGGACAAGCTCAAATGCCGTTTTCAGGAGCAACGGTCTGTCATGACACCTGCCGACCCACCAGTTAACCATGGTTCCGCTTCCGTGACAAGACTGTTAAGACTCTGTTTACTCTTTATAATGTTTATTTTAGAGAGAGACCGTGTGAGCGGGAGAGGGGCAGAGAGAGACACAGGACCTGATGCAGGCTCCAGGCTCCAAGCCGTCAGCACAGAGCCCGACGCAGAGCTTGAACTCCCAAACCGAGCGGTGACATCATGACCTGAGCCGAAGTCAGACGCTCAACTGCCTGAGCCACCCAGGCGCCCCTAGACTGCCAGACTTTCTCAGGATCTGCATCTGGGTCAGATTTCTCGGGCCCCACGGCAGGCCCACGGCACCTGCTATCTGAGGGGCACTCGTTCCCTGTATTCTGTCCCTGGCAAAGTACGGGGACGCCGCGAGGATGAACGTCACCAGGAACAGCACCGACTCCGACAATTCCCAGTAGGTGCTCTCCAGTTCGCAGAGCTTAAAAATGCCTCATTCACAACTGAAGTTGCTTTCATTGCACCACCTCCTATCTGCACTTTCCTCAGGAGCTGCTGGCCTGGACGGGGGTCCTGACAACGGAGGGCACACAGCACAGGGGTCACAAGTGCCTTCTTCTACCTTTGTAAACCGCGCTGTAACTTCCCCACCACGAGGCACACTCAGCACCGCTTCACTGGCTCTTCCCAGCACACACTCGAGGTTGCTGTGTAACAGTAACACCTTTCTACAGTAAATTCTGCCTAACATTCCCTGGCTTACGATTGCTGCCTGATAAAATTATTTTTTCAGTATTTCGTATTAAAATTGCTGTTTAGGCTTTGGCGTACTTGCCGCCTAGGGATGAGAGGAGGAAGCAAATGCAGGAGTAAACATACTTCAGGTTGTGCTCCCGTGCGGGCGCCAGGCAACTACAGCTATTGGCAAGATACTACTGTACCTAAGCAATAAAATGTACATCAGAACACGGGCCCCGTTCGGCTGCCCTGACCCTCCCGGCTGGAGGCTCTAGATCATTTACGACAGGTGTTCTGGTCTGTATAAAAACGGACACAGGTCTACACGCTGCAGACGGCTGCCCCACGGCAGAAGCCAGTGGTGGCGAGGAAGCGGCCCCAGGAACGGGAGCCCGTAACGTGGGTGGGAGCCGGGCGGCAGAGTGGAGAATAAAAGAACTCCCCGAAGAACCCTACTTTTGGAAACGTACGTGTCGACCTTTGCCGGGCGCCCCAGTTCGGTGAACAGGCCTCGTCTCCCCCGCAGATGGGACCACGGCCCCCGCGGGCAGGCTGTGCCGGTGCAGTGCTGGTGCAGTGACGAAACGTGCCATCGAGTTCCTGGGGCCGGCACAGCCCAGCGCTCAGACCGGGATCCTGATGAGCTGCTTCAGGGTGTTGCCTTCTCTGTTTCCCTAAAACCCAAGTTTGGAATTTGTGTCTGATTGAATAAGAGAGGCAGGCTGGGTTCAGCTCTTTATTTAAGAATAACAGAGTTTAAATTTTCGAATTTTAAACCTAAGCTAACAGCTTAATAGCTCTCGCCCCTTCACACGCACGCGCGTGCTCACACACACGTGCACGCAACGGTCTCGAACATCACCTGAGCCAGGATATGACTGGATACGACGATCCCAGTCATGTTTTGTAAAATCTAATGTAATGGCGAGACTCCCTATTGAACATCTGGTAAGTAACTCAAAATACCAAGTTCACGTACACTGTGAGGAAACTGCAGAGTCATTACAGGCCACACATGAATTAGAACACATACTCCAAAGGGAAAATTGTAACTCCAAAATACCCTACGAGCAGGCGAGGCAGTCGGGGTGCTTGGCACTGAGCACGGCGCTGTCATGGTGACCACTGTTTCTAGTTTATATTTAAGGAAACGGCTCCGTTCCTTACCCAGAGCCATACCTGGCAAAGCCAGAAGTAGATAAGGGCCAAGTACCAGTCGTCTGACTCTGAGCGCTACAGGCAATAATAAGAGCCATGCGGCAGTCCTACCATACTCCGGGTGGAAGACCACAGTCTTGAAAGGGAAAACTCCACGTCGGAACCAAGCAAATAAACCACTTTGAAACCACTGGGAGAATAACCTGGAGTTACAGGAGAGCCCTCACTGCAGTTGCCATCAAAGGACAAACTCTTACGAAGGCCCTGAATTTAGATCCTGCTTTTGTCATCTGCACAGTAAATGGGCTTCTTCCCCACAAACAGGAAGGGAGCCACGGAAATTACTTTTGTGACTTCCAGAACTCAGGTCCGTCTAGTCTGAATGAATACAAAATCTAAGCATTTGAGAGAAGATTCACAGTAGAAGGGGCTCCCGGCTGGTCTCAGCCGCCCGGTGACGGGGTTCGCACGGGGACCCGTCACACTTCCACAGAACCACTGCCTTTAAAAGGCTGCTTCTGAGTGTGCAAGATAATCGCCCGCACGCGGACTCGGGCCACCGCCGCCAGCACCTCGTCTTTCACTTCGGAATACACGTTTTAATTTCCTGCTGTGACACACCAAGGGGTGTTAGGCTTCCTCCATGCAGGCCACATGATCTACACACTTCGAGATGAGAAGAAGATGGGAACGGGGGTGCCGCTGCGGAAGATACGGCTCCAGCTGTGACTCAACTCTACCCCCTGGAGAACGGGTAGATTTACGGCTTCTCACCAGGCAGGCCTCTGCAGACACGTCACTGGCACAAGCCTGTGTGCCATTATCTCTATTTTTTAACCCTTATTTTTGAGAAAGAAGAGAGACAGAGCACGAGCTGGCGAGGAGCAGAGAGAGGGAGACACAGAATCCGCAACAAGCTCGTCTCTGAGCTGTCAGCACGGGGCCCAACGCGGGGCTCGAACCCACGGACTGTGAGACCGTGACCTGAGCCGAAGTCAGACACTTCACCGACAAAGCCCCCCAGGCGCCCCTCTATTTTACAGACAGACACAAAGATCCAAGTAACTCGTCTAGGGCCGCAGAGCCCCGGGTGCGGCCAGGACATGTTGAACCCAGCCGGTCGTCAGCACGAGGCAGGCTCTCAAATCAGACAAATACCAGCCAGTCCCCCACCCACCCCACACGGCCCCCACAGCCCCCGCTCACGGGATGCGCGAAAACCTCGTACTCCTTCAACTTGACCTCACCCTGCGCTCCATTCCCAGGTCTTAAGGTTGCTCTTTCATCCCTCCCTCCATTTTCGGGTCTTCAGGTAAACCGCCCCGCCCCTACCCCGAGTTCTACCCCTTCCCTCCTCTGGAGTGCTTCCTGTGTCCCGGGCGCCCGCGCCGCCCGCGTCTGCAACAGAACAAGCCCCGCGGCTCTAACTCGCGGCGCCTCGGTTCACACGGGCCAGTCTCTTCAAGCACACACGGCTTCTTCGACTTGCTTCGCCTCCTGCTATTCCCAAGCGCCTCTGCCACCACGTCCTCGCTCCGACCGCACGGAACAGCCCCGGCCACAAGCTCGAGCTCCGCTGACCACGATGCCGCGGCCTCCTCACTGCGCCCCACCTGGGCTTACACGCGCCGCCCTCCGCTACTCGGCAGAAACCCCAAGTCCTAATTAAACCCCGTTCCCATCTCCATGGACTTGCACACTCCGGCTGATTGCACACATGTATTTAACACCTAGGATGCTAAGAGCACTTTTCTTCGTATTTTATGGCAAGACCAGAAACATGTCGATTTCTACTAATATCCAACACAGCCAAATCTAATTCCTAAACAGACGCGTTACAATTTGTTTGGAGTTTAAAGGCTTAATGGCAATGATGAGGGGAGGAAAAAGTTTATTTTACATAACTGAATGAAAAATAATTCAAGAAATAGTAAATAAAATTTAATACGGTCTCATGCGCCCTGAAGAAGGCGGTGCCCGATTTGGAGGGGTGATTGCTATGTCCAGATAGTCTCCTATTTGGAACTTCTGCGACTGCAGGGTCATGGAGTCATCAGTCCCCTTCCTCCCAGACATGGTGCTGCCGATCTCCTTTACTCTGCAGAAAAGGGGACCGACTGTTAACGGATCACAAATCGATGAAGCTAAATGTGCACCGCAAAGTAAATGCGGGACGGTGTTTGCTCCATTATCTTACCGCACAGTTAAAAATTAATTACCACGTTAAGCTAAACCAGATGTTAAGATAATATAAATGTATATTCTGCCCACAAAAGGGGTTCATTAAAAGGGGTTATCCCTATCAATTAAAACACATCAAAACCAAAACGATTACAGGAATTAAAAATTAAAAGTTACCTACCGATAGCCAGGCCTTTTAGGATCTGTAAAAACAATTGCAAAATTGAAGTGTGTGCCCTTCTTCCTAGCTTCTGGGTAGACTTCTTTTACTAAACTAGTCAGTTCTTTCAAAGTTGCATCCATCCTGAATTAAAAAAAAAAAAAAAAATTACATTTGATTAATGAACAATGTAACAATAATAGAGCAAGGATATTGACATACAAGGAGTTAATTATGTGTATCTGAATTGTGACCTGTTAGAACTGAGGCTGTCAAAGTCTTAATTGTACTTTTTTAGGATTTTATTTTTAAGTATTCTCAAAACACACAATGCAGGGCTCGAACTCGGAAGCCCGAGATCAGGAGTCACATGCCCTACCTGGAGACAGCCAGGCCCCCCATACTTAATTTTAAAGCAGTTAATAACACTATTTGCCCCCACAAACTCCCCTTACCAGCTTCAATGATTAAAATTCTGATGAATTAAAGTCAGACTATTTGTACAAAAAGAGGCCTTCAGGGATTACACTTGCTCTTTTGTTGCTATGTAACAGCTCACTGGCCTAATGACTTACCTCTTTAAAAATAACTAATCCAAATTAACCCAAATACTTAAAACAATTGTTACTTCCTTATTTCTAAAGCATGTATATATTTTTCCACATTTCATCATGTCATCAAGTTGAAGTGCATCCTAGACTCAAGGACAGGAGAGTATTTTTATAAAAATGTGGTGTTTTTTCTTTCTATGGTAGAATCTTAAAGAGTTTTATAGAAGAGGGAGCCCGAAAGCCAACAAAACATGACATTTTCTCTAGACTACGCACAGCTCCTCTCACGATACACACTCTTACCCTGCAACCATCTGAACGTACGGACGATGCGGAACTGAAACGACCCTGCCTATAAGGTGCTGTAAGATGAAACAAGGGCCCTACACACACGTGTGCCCGTCTCACCATTAAAACGACCAAGAGCCACGTAGTTGCTTGGGTCCTAACCCTACAAGCACCGTTCAGTTCTTCCCATCTCTGTTGTTTCTGCCTCCTCAACACAGACCAACTTGTGTCCCCCGCCCCCCCCCCCAGCCCCACCGCTTTATTTCCACCTCATTACTCAACTCTGTATGTTGCCTTCAACTCCTCTCCACCTCAGTTTTTAAGTTCCTGTACACAGCTTTTGTCCCACAAGTGACAGCCGTTCCCGTCTCCAGGGGAGGAGTGCAATCACATGGACGGCGGCGAGCGGCACACGCACGCCTTCCTCCAGGAGCAGCAGGCCCGGGGGGCCAGGGGCCCACCTACTGCACGCTGTGTGGGTACCGGGGTTGCCCAGCAGACACGGCTCACACAGAGCACAGAGGGAACGACGCTTTGCTTGCACAGAGAAAAGACAGCACAAGACTGGCTTCCTGAGAGCGGGGGTCCCCACGGCCAGCAGGGTCGCCCTGGAGCCGAGGCCCCGACAGGCTCCCGCACCCCTCCTGTGCCGCAGCTACAGGAGCCCTGGGGACAGGCCCTGCAGCGGGGCCGGCCAGGTGCCACACGACAGCGCACACTGAGGCAGAACAAGGAACATGTCACACCCAGACCAGGGAGAGATCCTCCCAAAGAGACATGGCCCCGCGCAGGCTGTGAGCGCGCTTTATCTTTCGGGGGGGGGAGGGGGGCTCCAGGTCACTCTTAGGCGGCCATGCAAGGATGGGGTGCGGAGTTGTGCGTGGCTCCCTTTCTCCACCTGACACTCGTGTTATTTAGAGGAGAGAAAGCCGTGTGCAAGCGTGCAGGAAATTACATCCCAAATCCCACCAACCAGAAAGAACCAGGACACCCAGCAACGCCAACATCACCGCGGCCACCTCCTTGTGCACGGACCCGACGATACCGGGAAATAAATCTTGAGATTATCAAGCATATTATACTTGATATGGATAATAAAGTTATAACACAAAAATGTGATTCATTCTTCAAGTATTAAACATATTTTTAATAAAATTCATTTTTGAATTTAACAGAAAAAAGAACAAGGAGAATAGAAGGAATTACAAACTTCCAGACACAGATGCACTCTCTTACCCCTCCTAGCACCTCCTAATTTTGTAGCTTTTTTTCTTACCTCCGTTAGAGTACCAGAGTTCCTATTTTAACTCTGTCCCCATGAAGTATGAGACGAAGCTGATTTCTTTTTAATGTCTTGGAAGTGACCTTTTTTACCCCACTTGATATTCTGACGTTAACTATTCCCTGGCACACCTTACATACTAGCGACGTGCACCAGAAAAAGTTCTTTCTTCCTTTCTAGAAATTATTTCCCACACTGTTTCCCCTTGTTCTAATGAACTCAGGGGATTTGGTTTCCATCTGTTACCAGTTCTGACAGTAAATCTCCTACAAGCTTCCAACCTGCTGAGGACCGTCTCCGTAGACAGTCAGGAGTACCAAGTGCGGCTTTCCGACCACCGGGCCGAAGCGTGCGTGCACGGATGAAGAAAGGGCTCTCCTGGGGCTGAAGTCTTTGCTGCGTGACTGTGAGGGTCAGTTTTATGCGTCAATTTGGCAAAGCTACAGCCCGTTATTCAATCAAATGCTGACGTAGATGTTACTATAAGGCATTCTGTGTATGTGATTAAGGTCTATAACCAGCTGGCTTTCAATTAAGGCGCTGATCTCAGATAATCTGAGTAAGCCTCGTGCACTCCACCTGAGTAGGCGCGATTCAATCCGTTGAAAGGCCTCGCGAACAGAGTGGAGGCTTCCCTGAACAAGCAGCTCGGGCAGCCGTGGGCAGTTTTAGCTCTTGCTCAAGTTGTGGCCTGGCCCTTCCTGGCAGCTTGCCCTGTAGACCAGGGACCTAGGGACGCAGGCAGGCCTCCTAAGTATGGCAGCCGATTGTATGCAGTCAGTCTCTTCATACGGGTCCCCTGCGGGCTCGGTTCTTCTGACGGAACCCGAGACGACTTACCTGGGTACGGCCCTTTCAACAGCCTGCTCAAGGACCATCCGAGCACAAGGAGGCTCCCCACTCCCGTGGTGTCCGGCTTGTCACCCCAAGTGGAAAACTCAGTCTGCTTCTGGCAGGGTCCTCTGGACCACACTCTCCCTTCCGGGACTTCCCCTAGGGCTGCCTGTTTGGTGCCTCAGTCTACTTGTACAGACCGAGACGTCACAGGGCCTGTTACGTCACCTTCCCTCCGCACTGCTCCTAGGAAGAGGGCAGGGCTCTGCGCTACTACCACACAGCCACTCAGCCTTTCTAAGTCCCGGTCTCTGGCCACCACTGTGAGCTGTCACGCAGGCGGTCTTTCCTTACTTGGCCGTACGGTAAGGACAGGTCGGCCTCGGGCAGAATTTGTAACTTCTTTTCTGGATCAGGAGTAGAAGGTCTTTGGTAAGATCTCCCTCTGCCATCCTCGCCCTGAAGTGTACTTAGTCTTTATTCATGTGCTTTCTCCACTGGACGAGCTTACTCTACGAAGCTGTGACACCTTCTTCACTTCATACCCTCAGAATCTAAGCATGGCACCTGGCAAGCAGGAACTGCTATTTGTTAGAAGCAGCATACACTTTAATCTCTGAATAGAGATTTTCATCAGTCCACCAGTAATAGTTCTTCCCTGCAAGTTAATCAGTCTTCCTGGTACTTGTACCCCCGAATGATGCTGAACTACCATCACACTACAGGGTGTGATTTAACAACCACCTCCAAAAAGACAAGTAAGGTCTCAATCTTTAAAGAATCAAATTGCACTGTACTGGGCTCACAGTTAAAAATTACACACCCTTCTGGGAACATAAAATGCTGCAGCTGCTGTCAAAGAGTCTGGTGGTTCCTCAGAGAGTGAAACATAGGACAACTGTAAGACCCCGCCCCCCCACCTCCAGTACCTACCGGGACCCCCCACCCCACCTCCAGTAACTACCGGGCCCCGCCACCCCGCCACCCCATCTCTCGGTACACTTTTAGATACACACTTAAAGGAACTGAAAGCAGGGACTAAACAGACCCAGGTGCATAGCTGCATTATTCACAAAAGCCAGAAAATGGAAACTCAAGCGCCTGCCCGCAGGTGAGAGGACAAACAAAATGTGGTGTCTCTTACAGAGCAATATTATTCAGCCATAGAAAGAGATGGCGGTTCTGTCCCTGCTACAACGTGCACTAACCTTGAAAAGATCAGGCCAAGTAAGCCGAACACAACGCACACTGTAGGAGTCCACTTGTTAAAACATCGAGAAAAGGCAACTGTACAGAGACACCAGGGCGAAGGGAGGCATGGGGAGTCGCCGCTTACTAGGCGTAGAACTTGGGGGAAACGACAAAGCTTTGCTAACAGGTTAGCTGCACAATGGGAATCCTTACAGCGGCAAATGTAACGCTATCTATATCTTTATCACAAGAAAGGCATAGTTTTAAGAGTTATTAACCTTTTACTGCTACTAAACAGCCATCATGATGTCAACTAAAACTACTCGCAGCACTAAAGAGAAGTCTGCAGTAAGCAAGGGCCCCGGGCAGACGGAGGGCATGAAGGTGCCCGTGAGAGAAACATTCAGGGGCACGTATGTCTTCTCCGAACATACGTCACAACCTTTTCCACTAAGCCCCAGGATCAAAAATCAGCCTGTTTTTTGTGTTTTTAATGCGTGGCACCTCAGGATCACTTTCACACACAAATGCTCTCGAGGAGAAATATCCCAGGACTTCCCTTTACTGTTATTCCAGTACCATTTATTTGCCTCCGAGCCCCTCGGGGAAGGCCGCCGCACTTTCTGCATCCAGTATTTTCGTACCAAGCAGCCACAACAAGTGACGGCAATCTTGGGTCCGTCCATTCTCCGCACCTCAAAAGTCTGAACCTCAAACGTGTTACAAGATGGGCCCCTTTCACCTAACAGGTGACATCTCTAACTTTCTGAGAGCTGGGCCCAAAGGCCCCGAGTGGAGGAGGAAAGGCGGAAACAAGGAGAGCACTTCTTCACTAGCGCGGGGTGTTACTTCATGTCCGACCACCCCAGGGCCGCGCCCCCCGACCCGCACTCTCACCAAGTGTAGATCTGCAGTTCGCTGGACGGGACGTTCCCGCGGGAGAATTCGTCCATTCGGTGGTGGCGGCCGTTATTGGTGGTGAAAACACGCAGCAGCAGCGGGCACGTCTGGGAGCCAAAGGAGGAAGGGCAGAAGTTAAAGAAAGCGGCTGCGGGTCCAGGGCTCCCTTCCCCTCCGGAGGCGTCGCGGCCTCCGAGCCGCCCGGGGAGCAGGAATACCGCCGGCTTCGCGCACAGGCCGCGCTCTCCCCCCGCCAGGCCCACCTCCACCTCTTTCCGGACCCCATACTTTCTCCCGATCGATCGGCTTCTCCGGCTCTTTCTTAATTTCCTCCTGGGTAACGCGCGACTCCACCGCCATCTTCCTCCTACGGCCCGCGAGACGCTCGCTCTGACCTCCGACCCCTGCAGCGAGCATGAGAACGAAGCCTCTCGCGAGGAGAAGCTCGAGGCTTTATAGAGGACCGGGGGAGGAGGGGCGGGGCGTTTGCTGGCGCAGGCGCAACTCATTGTGCGGCCCGTGAGCCCGGGTCCGGACGCGCCTGCGTGTTGCGTCCCCAGGAAAAAGGCGGGCGTTGGCGGCCGCGGGGCGGAGCGTCTAAGGGATGCGCTTGTGAATGGGTCGTTAGTAGCCTAGGGATTTACTACCCAAGTATTCATAGACCAAACAAGCCTGCGGGGCACCTTTCCCAGGTAATGAATAAGTTAACGAACGCAGAGCTCTTAGGAGTGTACAGGAGGTAAATAAGAAAAAACATGACTTTATTAGCAAAGTATCGAACTCTTCAGTAAAGAAGTAACAAGTTGTGTAACACACCCTTGTAGGTGGACCCCTGAGCGAAGACAGAAGAGGGTTTGAAAAGCTGAGGGGAAGAGAGAATGCCTTGCAGTAAATGCTCACGAAATAGTTAATGGTCTGTATTGGGGGAAAGTGAAGTGGACTCTTCCCACACCACAGTAACACGATTGCGGATGGATCAAAGACCTTCAAACGAGCAGCAAAACTAGAACTTTTTGGATATGACATCATAAACCATCTTCGTGACCAATGGGTTGGGATACATGATACAAAAAGCACTAACCAGAAAAGATTGATAAATTTGACTACATTGGAAAAACAAAACCTGACCTTCAAAATTCATCATAAAGAAAGAAAAACATAAACCACAGAGTGGGGAAAATACCTATAATGCATGTGATTGACAAAAACTAGTGTCCAGGATATATAAAGAATAGGACAGACATCTCAATAGAAAGTGGGTAAAATAACTGAACAGATGCTTTTAAAATGAAGAATTCCAAATAGCCAATAAAATATAAGGTGCTCAGGAATAATTATTCAGAGGATACATAAAACCATAGTAACTGGCTTTAATTGATTGGTTTGGGAAAAAATACACTCACTAGCTTGGCAAAAATTAGAAACTCAGACATTTGTCGGTAGACTAATGGGAATTCTCCAATACTGGTGGTGAATGTGTAAACTGGTATACCTACTGTGGAAACTGGCTTAGGGTTGTTTAGTAAAGTTGAATAGATGTATACTTTGGATCTGTAATTCCACTCCTTGCTATATATCCTGGAGGAGATCGTGCTGAAGTATCCAGAGATATTACAAGAATATCCATCGCGAGCACGGTGAATCCTGAGTTCAGTGCATCACGGTATACCATACCACAGCAAAAGTACCAAGCAGCAGTGGAATAGTATACGGCAACAAGAATGAACAAATCACAGCTACACGAAACTATGACTACGTGAAACAATATGAATTTCACAAACATGATAGTGGCTGTATGGTATCAAAAATAAAGGAATATCCACTGTGTGAATCCATTTTTATAACATTCAAAAGCACAATACTAAACTATACTGTTCAGGATGCATCCCCAGGTGATAAAACTATAAAAAGAAAAGCAATGAACTAATTGCCACAGAAATCAGAATGGTAATTACCTCTGAGAAAAGGAGACTGTGATGGGGGGTGCGTGCAAAAGAGGTGCTTCTGAGGTGTTGGCAACATTTTGTTTTTTTACATTCTTTTTGTGATGATTACCCAGCCGTTAGATTATAAATTATTCTTTAGGCAGTATGTTTATGTTTTACACTCTTCTGTATGAATAGTATATCTTGCTAATAAAAAAATCCCACCCCAAAAGAATGCCTATCAATTGATTTAAAAAAATTACAATCCAATAGAAAACTGGACACAAGTCATGATAGGCATTTCATAGGAAAGAAGAAACACAAATTACATGTAAACATATGAAAAGATGCCCAACCTCATGAATAAACATAGAAATGCACATTTAAGCCACAACTAGATAACATTTCACTCAGATTGGCCAAAATGTAAAAATCTGACACCCAAGTTCTGGCAAGGACATGGAGAAAATGGAACTGTTATAGACCACGCTCATCCACTGTGGAAATACTGGTGTTTCCTAGAAAGATTGGATGTATGCACACCTTAAGACCCAGGTATTCCACTTGTGTCTGAATACCCAGAGAAATAGTTACACATGAACACCAGGCAACATGTTGAACAACGCTGAAACATTTATTCTTAATAACTAGAAAAATTTGAAAGTCTACCAAGACTATATTCACAAATTAAAATTTCATAAAGATTTGAAAATTAATGAGTGAATCAGCATGCTTTTTTAAAAAGTAGGCCAAAAAAGCAAGTCACAGGGTGCCTGGGGGCTCAGTCGGTTGACCATCTGATTTCAGCTCAGGTCATGATCTCATGGTTTGTGGGTTCGAGCCCCGCCTCGGGCTCTGTGCTGACAGCTCAGAGCCTGGAGCCTGCTTTGGATTCTGTCTCCTCTTTCTGCTCCTCTCCCACTCACGCACTGTCTTACTCTGTCTCTCAAAAATAAATAAATTTTTAAAAATATTTTTTAGGGGCGCCTGGGTGGCTTAGTCAGTTGAACGTCTGACTTTCGCTTAGGTCATGATCTCGCGGTTCGTGGGTTCGAGCCCCGCGTCGGGCTCTGTGCTGACTGCCAGCTCAGAGCCTGGAGCCTGCTTCAGATTCTGTATCCCCCTCTCTCTCTGACCCTCCCCTGCTCACGCTGTCTCTCTTTCTCTCCTAGAAATAAATAAAAATATTTAAAAATATTTTTTAAAAAAGCAAGTCACAGAATAATACATACAACGGGATTCAACTTATGGAAAGTTAAAAAACAGGATTTTTCTTTCCTCCTTCCCCCAAATTCTGTTTAGGAAAACAAACAGTAAGTGGTAAAACTGTAAAGAGAAGCAAGTCAGTGATTAACACTAAATTCAGGATAGTGTTACTTCTGAGTGTAAGCTAGGGTAACACAGTTTATGAAGGGCATCTAGGGAGCTTCTAATGAACTAGCTAGTATGTTCTCCCTGGAGGGTTTTGGAGGGGGGCAGTTCATTGGTCACATTGTGGCTATCCATTTTAAATACTCTGGTGTGTGCAATTTAGCTTTCTGTTAAAAAGTATTTTTAACTGCTTAGAGATGGGTCCTTGCATGCAGTGAATATTCCGTTTGTTAAAAAGATCATTAAGGGGCAGCTGGGTGGCTCAGTTGGTTAAGCATCCAACTTCAGCTCAGCCCTATTCATGAGTTCGAGCCCCACATCGGGCTCTGTGCTGACAGCTCAGAGCCTGGAGCCTCTTCAGATTCTTTGTGTGTCTCCCTCTCTCTGCCCCTCCCCCACTTGCGCTCTGTCTCTCTCTCTCTCTCAAAATAAATAAACATTTAAAAATCAATAAAAAGATCTTTAAATTTTCTCCCCAGTTCTATGATTCTGTTTTTTAAATTTAATTGTATTTTTTTACTTAAGTTTTTATTTTAGTCCCAGTTAACATACGGTGTAATGCTAATTTCAGGTGTACAATGTAGTGATTCAACCCTTCCATACATCACCCAGTGGGCATCACAAATACGCCCCTTTCTCCCATCACCTGTTTCACCCATACCCTCGCCTTCTATGATTCTAATATCAAATCTTTTTCAAAAATTCCATAGCATAAAAATACAGACACATGAGGGCACTCTAATCAATCAGCTAAAGGAACAACAATGAAACAGGAGAAATAAAGAAGCTCACGTGTTATTGGCATTATTATTCTTAGACATAAGCTCTCATTTGGACCTTTCCAAACAAGCCCTCATCAAAACAGAATTTCCCAGTATCCTGAAGCAATGGTGGAGTTTAGAAGTTAAGGTAGATTTTCAGCATCCCTCAAGCCACCTACTTGAGTTTCTAGATGCAGCTCTGAATGCAGATTATAATATTTAAGTATATGCGTCCTTTTTCTTTAGAATTTACACACACAAGCATTACACTTCTAGGTATATGCCTCAAAGAATTGAAAGTATGAACTCTAGTCGGTTTTTTAATATCTTTGTTCATAACAGCATTAGTCACAATAGTCAAAAAGTGAAAACAACCAAGTATCTCTCAACCAATGAATTGATATACATATAACGGAATATTATTCAGCCTTAAAAAATGAATGACGTACTGATAGACGCCAACAAAGATAAAGCTTGAAAACATTATGCAAGCTGAAATAAGTCAGACACAACAGAGCAAACCTTGTGTGATTCCACATATATGAGGCACTTATAGTAGGGAAATTCAGAGAGACAGAAAGTGGAATAAATGTTACCTAGGCCTGGGAGAGGGGAGAATGGGGAATTACTATTTAATGATAAGAGTTTCTCTTTGGGACAATGAAAAGTTCTAGAAATGAATAATGGTGATAATTGCACAGCATTGTGAATATACATAATGCCACTGGATTGTACACCTAAAAATGGTTAACATTATACATTTCATGTTATATATATTTTACGACAACAAAAAAATTTTTTTAAAGAATGAACATTTGGGAGCGCCTGGGTGGCTCAGTCGGTTAAGCCTCCAACTTTGGCTCAGGTCACGATCTCATGGTTCGCGGATTCAAGACCGCATCGAGCTCTGTGCTGACAGCTCAGAGCCTGGAGCCTGCTTCAGATTCTGTGTCTCCCTCTCTCTCTGACCCTCCGCTGTTCACGCTGTCTATCTCTCTCTCAGAAATAAATTAAAACATTAAAAAATTTTTAAAAAGAATGAACATTTGGAGCATGTGTACTGCGAATACAGTCATCAAACTTTCTCCACCTTTCCTCTTCTCTTTCTTTCTTTAATGTGCTTTGGCATTTTCAGTCAGGGGGCAAGTAGATTGCCCTAATTAAAATCAGAAATATGTGATGTGAAGTTTTACAGAATATGCCTCAGTCAGTCCCTGCAACGCCATGGCTTTTTCTGCTATTGAGTTTCAGAAGAACAGCTGTCTGCTTGGCAGGAAAACAGATTTAATGGAATATATTTTTCATAAAATTTTCTGACTCTTTTTGCAAACGCTGTGGATTATAAATCTGGGTATTTCCAGGGAGTTATAAAACCTTTTAAAAATTTCTTCAGGTGCATCTGCGGGAGACGAGGTGTGTGGCATTTATAAGCACAGTATTTATGGGTTCTTTTTCCGAAACGCAGTGTATGTAAA